TGTCATCTTATGCAGCAAAGATTGAAATTGAAGAGTTACTTCAACTGTATAGACTTTTTAATTAATATATGTAAGGGAAAAAAAACTTATATTAAAAACAGATTCAAACTAACTTTTCTTCATGTATAGCTTGAATAGCAGCTAGAGCATCGAAGGATGGCGCTGGAAATACGCAAGTTTGCAAATGAACACATGCACTCAAACTACCCATAACACAACCGAAACAATGATACAATGGATTCGGAATACAAATTATTGTACGCTGAAAAATTATTTCGTTATATTTTTTTGAAAATTTTTAGATGGTTAAACCTGATCAAAAAAAGTTGGAAAGATTTTAGTAATAAAAAAGTAAATAAAAAGAAATCAATAATTATTATATTTATCACCATAATGGCGATGAAATATACCCTTGTTGATTTCTTTAATATATATATATATATATATATATGTATATATATATAGTATTTACCTTTTCATTGTAACCAGCACGTCGCCCAACGAAATATGCATTATTTACAACATTGTGATGAGTTAAGGTAGCTCCTTTTGGTTGTCCGGTAGTACCCTGAAATTAAATTGAATTATAACACTAATTGACCAGAATGCCCAGAAGTGGTCAACCAATTTTGATGATCATAATTGTAATCTCCAACATGATTTATTCTATCAGTTTCTACATCTTTTTCAACGTGGACCACTTTTTTCAATAGGATTTTTCGTTGTTATGTAATCTTTATTTTACCAGCTTTTTCTGTTAAAATTATTTTTTCAAATTTCCTTTAAAAAAATAATACTTGAAGATATTTTAATGAATGTATAAATGTTAAGCTAATAAGCAACACAAATGAATAGCTAAAAATGAAAAAAATAAACGAAAAAAAAAAACAACTGAAATAAGAGAGAGAAAAGCAAATGAAATTAAGATATAAGAAGACGGTTAGTTAATAATGCATAAAACCAATTACAAATATAATTACTACCTTTTGTGCAAGCTCAACAAAGCACTGATGAATTAAAATGGTTAAAGCCGGAGATGATCTTAAGCCATATCCGGTGTGTAGTTTGCATTGTAAATTAACATCGAACATCTAGAAGAAATTCCGGACTATTTTTGCAAGTGCATGCAAATGTATATTTTGTGACAGCTATATACAAAAATGCAACTCAAGACAATTAGTTCTTAGATGTTCTATAAACTTTATCTGTTTACATTTTCAGTATTCAACACTTCTTTTCTTTCTGCTGAGTGGTCAACATTTACATATTTATTTCCTCTTATGTTCAAACTTTAACTAACAACAGCTCTCTTTTCTGCTCTTGATTACACAAAAATATTTCGAAAAATAAAAGAATGAAAGACACCATTAGGTGACAGTCCATTTCTTATCATTTGCTTGAGAGGATGCCAATCACATTTTTAGACTTATTATAAAATCGAACAACTGCTGGTTCTCGCTGCCCTTCGACAGTGTCATGTCATCAATGTGACGTTCCAAAACGAAGAATGCTCGAACATTAAATATAAAAAATGCCAAGATAAGACCGCAAACTTATAATTAGCCTTTTGCATTACCCAAAAATCCACGCAGACGTTTAAAGGTTAAAACACTAATGTGTTGCATTATTGTTTGTCGCAAACGAAATACCTACACTGGTATACTGTATATTGACTGGATCATCCGGTCGTATCTGTCGTTCAATGTCGGCCAATTTTAATCGATCTTCTTCAGTACCCATTTTTATCACATCTGAATATTTCCAGGCTCCTCTGCAAATGCAATACTGTCAATCAGTTGGACTGATTATATCTCTCATTCAAGGTAAGCAATACCATTAAGCAAATGCGACAACTAAATTACAGGCTTTCAACTATTATTTGATTCATATATATATGTATATATATATATATAAAAGATCAAAAAATCAGTCGATAGTATATTTTGAAGCATATGATTTAACCTTCAGTATAATTAAACCTTTCAAGAAAACATTTAATCCGAAACCATTCCTACCTGTACGGTTTATTGTCCCCATCTCGATCAATAATAATGAAATGACGAAATGTAGGAAAATAATCTGCAGTCACATCACCTCTCCCTTCCGCTTTAACAGCAATATCCGGAATGATATCTACCATTGACAAGTAATAGTTTGACTTCTTAAAACTTGAAGGTGTAACCAATGCTTTGATCCCTACTTTACCAAGTGCAAATTTCAACTCTTCCGATTGGTATGATGGGTTTATATTGACCTGAAATTTTCGGAAACAATGCATCAATTTTTTAACAATCAAGAAAATTACCCGATATAAATATAAAAAAAAAAAAATATAAAAAAAAAAAATATAAAAAAA